TCAGCTTAGAGAAATTCATTGCAGTTTGTCAGAGATCTTCAATTTGTTAAATTTTAAGGAACTTTCTAGATGTTCAAGAATTTTTGTAGATGTCTTAGGTGTCTATTCACAAGTGCAAAAAGATATTCCGAGATCTTCGTAGAATTAAGAAAGATGGAAAAATGTGGACTTTGGAATAAATTAAGGGAACTTCGTAGGAGTTGAGAAAATATTTTGTAAAACCTAATGGAGCTTTTTAGATGTTCAGGAAACGTTTAATATGTTACAGGATATTTTGTGTGACATTCATCCTTCCTAGACAGTAGGAAATATTCAAAAGATTGAATATTATATATAGACGAAGATATTAGTAATGTTCTGCAGACTCCAGGTTGATCCAGTTCTGAGGACCTCCAACTGTTTAAAAACTCAAGTATTCTTTCAAGACTGTAGGTTTTTCAGGAAGTATTCAAAAGATTTCCAACTAATTGAATCTTGAATGATGAATTTTGATTTCATGGACGTGTTTGTACATTCTCTATAGGGAAGACCCTTGCCTTGGTGATTTAGCTATATTATCAAGAATTAGCACTCCAGCAGCTGAATTCCGGGCATATATTTCAACGAAGAGATGGCAATTCCTAAATATACCTAATATAGGTGTGCGATGCATAAATATCGGTGATTCGGACACTATGTGATTTCATTACATAAAGCATGAACAAACGATCGTTGCTTGTTCAAATTAGTAAGCTTTAAAGGATCCCTCAATCGTGATTGCTTCACCTTTAAAATAATAGTAAGTTTCTACGTCATATTATTGGTCACAGAAAAAAATGTACCCAAAAACAAGTTGCCTTGGCGCAATTTTAATGAATAGTTTCGCGAGTTTTTATTTAACCCAAGTTAAATTTTTACCATAGTTTAGCAAAATAAACAAAATGCAAAAGCCCCCCCCCCCCCCTGGGCCCCCTCCAGATAAGTTTTCTAGCTACGCCAATGATCAGAGTACGATAGAAAAGCTAGTTGAAATTATGAAGTTAGTATATGTAGAAAACATAATGCCCAAAGACTGGAACAAATCGACGCAAATTCCCATTCCAAAAAAGGCAGGAGCCGATCATATTGGTAGAATATCTCTTTGTAATGTGGCTTATAAAGTACATGCTAAATGGATAGGTATAACCAGCTTCGAAAAATTCACAGGAGATCCAGGGTTCCATCAAGCAGCATTTACAAGAAGTAGATCAACAGATGATCATATATTGGTTGCTAGGCGAGTCAAGGAAGAATATTGGAATGCAGGAAAAGATCTAATTGTTTTAGCGTTGGATATCAGTAAGGCATTTGATACAGTAAATGTGCAGAGTTTAAGAGAAGTTTTACTCAATTTAAATGTTCCATCTAGATTAGTTGACAGGGTGTTATTATGTGTTAAGGATGAACTCACTAGAGTTTTTTGGCAAAACCAATTTTCTAAAGAGTTCAAAAGAGGTAAGGGAATTAAACAAGGATGTCCCCTGTCACCTCAACTTTTCAATTATTTAATACAAGATGTTTTTAAAAACGTGGCAAGAGATATTCCTGAATTAGAATTGATAGATATAGGTTGCTTAAAACTGCCGATAATTTTAGCATTTGCCGATGACATATTAATAATAGTAAGAAATATAAATGAGTTAGAGAAAATGAGTTAGAGAATATTCTTGAAGTCCTAGAAGAGAAGCTATCCAAAGTAGGAAGAAAAGTCAAATTTTAGTTAGATACCCAAATGACACAGCAGTACAGCCAAACGAATTAATACTTAATGAAACTGCTTTTAAAACTAGTCAATACATTAAGTATTAAGGAGTTTGTCTGACAGCAACCCTAAACAGGAAATTAACCAATAGGCATAGATCTATAAACGCTTTGAAAACTTAAAACTTAATAGCTTATATAGAATACAGTTTTGGTGCCAGCGTTATTATACGGAACTAAGGTAGCGGCATTAACAAAGAAAAACAGGGTGGCACTAGCAAAGTACGAAACAATTATTCTAATGAACATTTTTAATAGCTGTAAAAAACCAAGTCGTATGCAATTTAATGCAAGAAAAATTTTAGCAGGAAAAATAATAAATAGACGAGTTAGGGTAGGCAGAATAAGTTATTTTGGACATATCAGAAGAAGAGATATAAATCATCCACTGCAATTAGCGTATAGATTCAAATTCAACAAGAAAAAAGAGGGTAGACCAAGCCTTACTTGGAGGAAATCATTAAGTCAGGACTTTGATAGATATGAAGAACTTGATATAGAAGAATGGAAAGAACAAGCTAAGGACAAAGAAAAATTAAAAAAAGAAAGTGGAAGAAATTTATAAGAATGAGGATAGCGAAATTTCAGATGCATCGACAGAGGAAGAAGATCAAGGAAAAGGAAGTTATAAACACTGGAAGAAAAAAGGATAAGACAGAGAATGTGTAGCAAGGACTATTGCCAAAAAAATCCTGTTTGTATCTCTTTTTCGTTTGCATGCATTCCGGGTTGTGAGCGAACATGATGAAGAAGAAGAAGATGGCTTTATCACATAGCCCCGTCTCAGAACGAGTGTATTGTTGAACGACATGGTCTACGATTCAAGATTGGTTTCTGTTATGATAAGTATCACGATCTTCATCGAAATGTAAGTATTATTGACAATAATCATAACAATCAACTCGTATATACATTGAAATACATAAATAAAAGGGAAGGGACGGTCCAACAGGGCACCCGATTTAAGCGATTTGGACGGGGAGAGTGGGAATGCCAACTCCCTGTTGATAACATTCCGTGGATAAAGGGCGGGCTCTTCTCCCCACTCATTGGGGCATCTTCCTGTTTGGGAGCTTGTCTTTCTGACCAATTGGCTGATCAAGTTGCTGGAAGGAGATTTTTTTATTGTTCCGTAGATGCGTATAGGCGACTTTGCCTATCGATCTACCCAATCCGTTTTTGGCCCTTCATACAGCGACATGTTGAGGACAATCATAAGTTATTAAGCTTGATCAAGACAAACAGAGAAGAGAGCCCACTGCTGTCGGACTTAGTTTCCGTGCTACAATGGGTGGTAAACCACTATCATCATCATCATTATCATCATCATCATCAATACTCCTATGCGACTAGTTTACTATGCATTTCCATCGATTTATAGCGACTTTAACATGGTCATGACTAGGTAATTACAACCATTAATCCTAATTGCTACATAGGGGCTCTACAAAGCTCTAAGATTGCAAAACATTTAGTCTGTAGAACCTCAAAATCTGAACTCCATTATGATTTGGAGAATCTTAGATATATTTTAACACACCTATACGGCTAACATGATGAAATGAGGTCCCATGTAGGTCCATGGATTTAAGTAATAAGTCAGGACACTGTACAAGACTTGTGCCATTTGAACTTCAAGATCTTAATTCTGGATTATTTGGAGGACTCGGGTTATTTTGGCACCTGAACATCGTTCAAAATCTGGTTGATTCTATAGAACAAAATCTGAACTTCAGGATGATTTGGAGAGTCTTATATATATTATATATATATATTAGACTGATGCAAAATTTGACTTTTTCGCTCCACAGTGCTTAAATGGTTTCAAATCGGGTCCTGATTAGCCTCCCAAAGTTACAACTCATTTGGTTAGAAACAGACTTCGCACAAGCCATTTGAGGTTTGCATGTAAATTACTATGGGAAAACTCAACTTTTTGTTCATTGCCTTCTTGTCTTTTCCATATTGAGCTGCGAAACAGTTCAACTGCTATTCTTATAGAAAATTTTCTCAGCTACAACTTTGCTGAAGATCGTTTCTATGCAAAACGAGACAGGAAAAAGTTATTAATTATTTAAGAGATTGGTAAACTTATGACATGATCAAGCAGCTGCTCTGTAGGCAACACTGTATTTTACAGTGTGACATAGTAGCCATGATTTTTGTGTCCTATTCAACGCCCCAGAAACACCAATGTTGCCTGCTGAGCAGTTGATTGAGCATGATCATAAGACATCAGCGCATTGAACCATTGATAACTTTCGATTCTTGCATTTAATCAAAAAATGGTCTTGAGCAAAGTTGTAGCTGGGGGCGACCCCGGCGTAGTGGTTAGCATCCATACCTTCACGCCAAAGTCACGAGCTCAAATCTCACCCCCGGACAAGTCACGAATGACCCAAGAGCGTTAAAGTGACTATAACTATAAAAAAAAAAAAAAAAGTTGTAGCTGGGAAAATTTCCTACAAGTACAGCTGAAAGCTTTTGAAGCAGACCGATATGGTGAATTATTAGATAGACATGAACACAAATCTTGGTTTTACCATAGTAATTCCCATACAAACTTCAAATGGTTTGTGCCATCTCAGTTTCTCACCAAATGGGTTCAAATTTTGAGAGGTTAGTCAGAATCCGATTTGGAACCGTTTAAGTATTGTGGAGCGAAAATTTTAAATTTTGCATCACTCTAATATATATCCCCTCTAATGTAATGAACTCTTACAAAGCTCTCTGGAGTCACACATTTAGTCGGAACACCGAAAAAAAACTTTTCAACAAGTTTTCAGGTAATTCATTGTTTTTGTACTATTATAGCTGAATTCTACTAAAAAGCATAAAAAGTTTAATTATGCCTTAGAAAAATATGAGACTGAATCGGTTAAATCACAAGAGAATGGGTACTTTAGTCGAAATTTCTATTAGTAAGTAGGGCAAGATTTTATCATTGGAGAATCAATTCAGGTATTTAACTATGTTCTCTATAAAATCGTAGGTGGTACAAAGTTTTGATTGTCCCACCCACGCATTGCGCCTCTGAAGTCAATAAAAAGACTTAAAATACAACATTCAATCATCAAAAACTGATAATACAACTCAATACAATACTCGATACAATACTTCTTTGAACATGTACAGAGAAATGTTTCACAAGTGTCCTTTTTTAAAGCAAAGGTGCGAGAAATACGTTTCAGAATGCAACTTAATAACTGAAGCGTGCTTACCTTTTCTTCAAGTTGGCCATGAAATTCTCCAAGGTAATCACATCGAGCAGTACAAAATCTTGCACGCCGACCTCCTGACTGTTCTGATGTAGTGCCATCGTTGTTGTTACTGCTGCTGCTGCCTTTCTGTTATTATTATTATTGCTTTTCTGGCATCACACGCCTTCGCCTTTTCTGGAATACTTCTTTTTTTCTACCGATGGCCGTTCGTACGGTCACCAACACCGTACAGCTAACACAGATCGCTGTTTAGTGTTGTTTTATTTTTAGGTTAGGACTATTTTACATATAAACCGTAGTATATAGCGGCATGAATCACCCGCTTTTCCACAGATGGGTTGAATTTCCTGCACTATTCAATTCACCTAGTGTCTCACTATTCTCCACTGACGACACTCTATCTTCTGTACATAAACAATACATACAAAACACAACCGTCTCTTTTCCACTGAAGTCGGTTACCGAATTAAATCTGTAATGTATTTATTCCAGTGGTGCATTTTAGTTGGACTGGGAAGTCATTAGTTGCGAGTAGCGCTAAAAAGTAAATAATTCATTCAGTAGCAGTTCACTTGTTGAATTAAGTGACAACGCGAAAGTTCAACTCTTTCTCTTTCTTCCCCAAAATGTCCAACAACGGTGGATGAGACGGGTTCGGGGTGGACCGCAAACTGGACAGAGCGAATCAAATTATTACAAAGGTAATGACACCGAACCGAATACGGACGGCAAGCCGTGTACATGCGCGTCACGATGTAATTCGCTCGATGCGTCCACAACGAACCGTTCGAGGCCAGATACACCGGGACTGGATATCAAAACACTCCACTGAATATACCTAATATACTACTATGCTCTGTGATGCTACTCGAAACAATAAAGGTGCAAGCTATACGCGCATTCCTGCACGCGTACCGACGTCAGATAGTTCGGGCTTTTGTTGTATTATTATCACTTCACATCGGGCAACGGTAAATATTCACACCTCTAAAAAACGCTGACTGACCAATCCGATAAATACTATACTACACACCCGTAAGAGAATGAATGAATTTGGGCGAAACCTTTCAAATTGATTTCATTTCACCCTTCAACTTGATTGATTTAATTTCTGCCTTTGTACCACCTACAGATGACATAAGCAAACTGTAGATATCTGTTTTGCACTTTATCCTGATTTGCACACCTTCAGGGACACTGTTGAAGTTACCATATTTGCACACAGAACGAAGACTTTAGGTCACACTATATCGACAAGTAGTAGCCAACATCAAGTGGAAAAGGAAAAGAACCAGTGATGGAATAATCGTAAGAAGTAAGCAAAACACGGCGACGGTCGGCCTGAAAAGACGACCGCGGGAGCGACCAGAAACTGTCTTTATTCCGACGGAGTCAACACGAAAACTAACAGCTGGTAAGAGAACGCCTCATCACAGAGACCGATGCGATGCGACGAGCGAAAGGAGTCGAAGAATGATGATGGACAAAAATTACCGCACCACGCCAACCGTATTAAATCACTCGTGTGTGTGAGTGGAACATCATTTCTGTATCATGTCGTCTTTATGTGTGACTCACCACCTGTGTGACATGACAGTTTATGTTACGCTACACCATCTACATGCATTACTGCTCTATCAGGGTGGCTCTTGGTGGTACATGGCTTTTAAAATTTATGGCTATAATTAACCATTTTGTCAAAAAACCTAGAAATCCCTTTCACAGACTACAAAATAGAGTATCTGAGACTGCAAAACATGCCTGCAAAAAATGAAGGGACTTGGCTGTGCTTATTGTGTTTCGTGTGTGTTGTTGGGTGTCGGAAGGTGTTTCTGGGTGTTTCTTCATGTCGACCGTGCTGTCAAATCATATCATCAACGCACACTTGAGTAATCTCATATTCAAGTGCGAGGTTTGTTATCCTCACTTTTGCTTCAGCCAAAAATGTTGGTTTGTTTTGTTATCCTCACTTTCAAACCATCAATACTTGCGCATATAGAATGGACAATAGTATAATGACAGATTCCCCTACGACTCCTCTGATGTTTGTTTAAAGAAAAAGCACTACCAGCGGGAGGATTTTTTGGCTTTCGAAGTGATATCTGAAAAGCTGCAGAAGAAAGCTCAAGTAATGGGTGTAATCCTACCCGTTGTAGAATCCAGTCGGTGGCAATAGTTTCATAGCTATTTATCAAAAATTTCTAGGAAAAAACTGAACGATAATGAATGATTTATTTTAACTTATTTTGACCATAATATGCATCCAAAGCGTTCCATCCACTTTTCCAAATTTCTAACTTACTATCAATGGAACAGCGCCATCAATGAAAAAAAAAATAGCCTTGACTTAATGGTGAAAAGTATTATGTAGATCTTTAAAAAATCTACTCTAACTCTTTTCTTAAATGAACTTGGTGGCCCTGAAAAGGCCGTTTTGTTACTTGGTTGTTGGTGATAATGATGCGTAGACGACATTCATGGCCGGGACTGTCTGCTCTTGGCGTGTTCAGAGACGGCATCACGGATCATTTGACTTTTTTTTTTGACTTTAAATGATCTATATTTCTTGAATTTGTGTGGTTTACATGTATAACTTATCAATTGACACAGATGCGTCTTTTCAACTTTAGTTCCTGTGAAATTTCAATTATTATTAATTACAGTTCCTAGTCCTATCAGGCCTGTTTTAGAGAATGACCACCTTGGTGGGATTGGTTTGTTTTAAAATTTGAAAAAGGAGACTACTTATAACTACTATTTACAACAACAACTAACCTACAACTACTATGTACACCTAATCTACTATATACAACTTGCTTATCAAAGCATGTTCTGATAAATTACATTTTTGTGCAAATTTAGTCTTAATTTCGTTAATTCTTGAATCTATTTTGGCAATTCCTGCCTCTTCGTGTAAATTTGTTATTCTAGTGTCGAAAGGATGATCAAGAACCATCCTCAGCACTCTATTCTGAGCGACCTGAATTTTGTTCCTGTGAGTCTGTGCACATGATTCCCACACCGGAGCTGCGTAGAGGATCGCAGGTGCTATGATTTGTTTGTAGACGGCCAGTTTGTTTACCCTTGAGAGGCGAGATCTGCGGCAAATCAGCGGATACAGACACCTAATCAAGGCAGAACACTTGACTACTGTTTTCTCTACATGCGAACGGAAGAGGAGCTTTTCATCGAACAACATCCCGAGATAGGTTACTTCGGCAGACCACTCAACCCTTGTGCCATCCATGATTACAGTACAAGATGGAGCCGGTTTCAGTTTGGGCGATTGCCGATGGAGGAACATGATCGCTTGTGTTTTGGAGGCATTGATTTTGATTTTCCACGTCGTGGCATAATCAGCAAAGGCGTTAAGGCATCGTTGAAGTTTGTTCGTTATTTCGCGAGGCATTCTTCCTTTGACGGCTATTGCGGTATCATCTGCGAACAGGAAGAACACGCAACCGTCACCGAAGGGAGGAATGTCGGAAGTATAAATGCTGTAAAGCAAGGGGCCCAGCAGACTGCCTTGCGGGACTCCTGCTGGGATGGAAAACGTGTCGGAAAGACAACCATTCAACGATACCTTAAACGACCTTTGCTGGAGGTAGTTACGGGTGATTTTAACCAGATGTAAAGGAAAGTTAAAGTTACAAAGCTTGTACACAAGTCCATCATGCCAAACATTGTCAAACGCTTTCTCAACGTCTAACAAGGCCATGGCTGTGGACTTGGATAAAGCTTTGTTACTTCGGATGTTATTCATCACCCGCACTAGCTGGTGATTGGTGGAGTGCCCCTTTCTGAACCCAAACTGTTCCGGAAGGAGAATGTTATTTTCCTCGACAAACTTGAGCAAACGATTGAGAATGAGTTTCTCGAACAATTTGCTCAGCGCTGAAAGGAGGCTGATTGGTCTGTAGCTTGAAAACAATGTTGGATCCTTACCGGGTTTGCGGATCGGTATGATTTTTGCTATTTTCCAGATGCTTGGAAAGTAGTGCAGTTCCAAACATCTGTTGAAGATAGCGGTTAGAAGAGACAGCACTTTCATGCTGAGTCTCTTCAAGATCAAGTTAAATATACCGTCAAACCCAGGAGCCTTCATGTTCTTGGTGCATTTCAGCGCTGAGCAAATCTGTTGTACTGTAATGATATCCGCCGGAGGCACGACACAAGGGGAGACATCTAGGTTTTGAACGCATTGCGCAACCTGATCTTCGAGCGGACTTTGGATAGTCGAGCCAAGCAAATGCGATGAAGCGACATGCTTGCCGATCGCATTTGCTTTCTCCTGTGGGGTAATTAAAAGCCGATCGTCATCATTTTCGACTTTGAGAGGTGGAACGGGTTTGGGATGATTTTTCAGGACCTTGGCTACCTTCCAGAATGGTCTGGAGCGGTCGTCCAGATTCTGGACAACACGCCCGAAACTTTCATTTCGGAGTGAGTCCATTCTGGAAGCAATCTGCCTGTTCAGAACGGCCACTTCACGTTTTTTGCCCAGATCTCCAGTCCTCTGAAACTGGCGTCTACGCACATGTCTCAATCGAATCAATAATTGGGTGTGGGAATCAATAGCAACAAACTTACCCCTCACAGGAACTTGTCGAACGGCCTGTTGGAGTCCTTCCAACGCCCGGTCGATGTCATCTACGGTGTCGAGCAGTGGATTTTCATCGATGTTCCTGTCCACCATTCGTCCGTACTGCACCCAGTTGACATGGTGGTAGTCTTTACGCAGGTAGCTTCTAGCAGGAACCACGTTGACACCGACTTCAGTCACCACCGGTTGGTGGTCAGAACTGAGATCGTTGTATGCCTCCAGCTTGGATAGTCCGATGTTTGTCAGGAAAAAGTCCAGGGTGGAGGGATTTCCCGCCGGAGAGATGAAAGTTGGTTCGTCCGGAAATTGCACAGTGTACAGACCATGTTGTGCGTGGTCGAACAATAGACATCCGTTCCGGTTCCGCTGGTAGTTCCGCCAAGCTTCATGGCGGGCGTTCAGGTCACCCCCAACGATGAATCGGGAGCTAGTACGAGTGATGGCGGTCAGGTCGTTCGTGAATTGGATGCCTAGGCCGTTGCTTGTGGTACACTGGCGTGGGCAGTAAACAGCGATAAACCGGACGTTTCCAGTTGGTGATTCCACCTCCACACTAACGGCCTCGATGATAGAAGTGCGGATGTGGGGCACACTGCAGAACTTGATTCCCTTTCTGACGATGACCGCTACACCACCCCCCTGGAGCTGGTGCGATCAAGCCGGATAATGTTGTTGTCAGGCAACCAGAAGCTGTCACCGGACTTTAGGTGGGTTTCGGTTAGAAGACCCACATCGATGCTATGCTTGCGGAGGAAGTCGGCAAGCTCAATCTGTTTTGCCCTTACAGAGCAAGCGTTCCAGGTAACGATGGTTAGCGGTTTAGACACCATATTGGATAATGAACTTACCGAGCACTTGGATCTGTTCGGGCTTATTGCGGCACTTACGTAGAGCACCGGTCATGTTGATGAAAATCTCCATCAATTCATCCGCTGAGAACAGATCGGGATTATTTAATTGAGCTGTTGGTTGTCTCCAGAATCCAGGGGGGATGGAGAGCTTAGTCCAGCAGAAGATCCAGACGTTTCTTGAGGGGGGGGGGGGGCGGTTCGCACCCTTGGATTCGCTTGTCCATGAAGAGGCGGAAAGTCCTCCGCCCTGAAAGCCGGGGCCTTATCCTTCCTTCGTGCTGGTTGCTTGTTGGTGGATGCCTGATTTCGGATGCGCTTGAAATCCTCGCGTTTAGGGCATTGCTTGTTGGATCCTTGGTGAGCACCACCACAGTTGGCGCATTTTAACGCCACCGCTCCATCCGCAAGGCAATCGGAAGTGGCGTGGTCTTTAGCGCAATTTCCGCAGCGTGGCTTAATGTTGCAGTTGCGGGTACCGTGTCCGTAGTTCAGACACCGCTGGCACTGAGTCACATCGCGATGGCCGCCACGGTATGGCTCCCAGCGAACGATGATGGAATTGATGGACCGGATGGCTTTGAGTGCGTTGAGCGTCACCGTTCCCTTCTGGAAGTGTACCAGGAAAAGGCTATCCGGATACGCCTTCACATTCTCGTCTCATCTTGTCATTCGATACACGGCACTTGGGGCCAGCTTGTACCGGTCCCTGATTTCATGTTCGATAAACTTCGGGTCGAAATTTGGTAGGCCCCTGATGACGACCTTGAACGGTTTTTCACCGGGGATATCGTGGGTGAAGAATTCCACCTTGGAAGTCCTCAGGTGGGCGATGACCAAGTCATACTCCGCTTTGGTACGGAGCACCACCTTGGTGCCGACTCTGCCCAATTTGAATTCGGCTTTGACGCCCAGCGACGCCAGATCCGCGATGAGCTCGTTGAGATGGGCA